ATACTTTCCATGGGATCATGCAAAAGCTACTGTATGTTTTTGAACATGAGGATTCTGTCTTTGCTATTTTTTATTAATCATTCTCACTCATCACAATTTTCGGCTTGTTGAAATTGGTAGAGAAAAGGACATGCTTCCTAGCAATACTTGCAAAAAAATAAAAAATAAAAAATAATAATAATAATAATAATAATAATATACTCTTGCCATGAAACATGGCGTGGACAATATGTTAAGAAATAATTGTTATAGAAGAGAGAGCTAATAGTGAAAGTATCAAGGAACCAAATAGGGTTAATGATGGAACCTCGGCATAATCCTTTTCCTAATTGAAAGTATTATATTTGAAATATGTACATCTCTTTGATTCTATGAGATGCAGAAATCTAAATATTAAGCTTATATAACACTGTCCACCGACATTCTTAAAATCAAATGTCGAGTCTGAGAGCAAAGGTCTATGGGGATTAGTTTCTGTCTTCCCCCACCCCAAATATATATATATATATCAATTACTTGCTGTCTGAAACAGCTTTAATTGGTGATTTTAATATATATTCACTGTTCAAGTTTGTTGAATTAGTATGTTATTTGTGATTGATTGATGTGATCATGAACTTTTAAAAGAACAGATTTAAACAAGACAAGATATATCTTCCTTTTGAATTGCAGCCTCAAGGAAACTCGTTCCAGAAAAAGGTGTCATTACTTTTTGGGATTGGCCATGCTGTGGAGGTAAAAAGCATTGAATTAATTTGACAGGAGTGCATTATTAACTAGAAATGTAATGTGGTTTATGGAACATATGTTTGTTATACAGTTCATACCTGGTGTAGAAATTGTTTTTAGAGCAATTTATTCATGTGCGTGACATTCAATTGATACTTTTATTCATGTCTGACTTCTTTGGCTTCATCATTTTTCTCATATTACTGCTGTATGAAAAATATTTTAGTTTAAAGCGTTGTTTATAATTTCCTTGTCAATATGAATTTTGGTGGAATATGCTGTTTGTTAATCTAAAAAATGCATCTGGTGCCAACTAACTGTATGATTTACAAACTTAGGTTGCTGATTTCGTGCTGTGATATTTTAGCATTCTTCAGACTGTGGAAAGACAAAAACGAAGTACACACGGTGTCGGTATCAGATACCATTTCTGGTTCTCATATGGGAACTAAAAAGGATTAGTCTATGCAGAAGAGTTTAAAGAAGAAATCATATTATTTAATTACAGAAATGCCTGTTCTTCTGTTTACTGTCAATGCTTAAAATTTATCTCCAGGACATATAATTCTGTGCATAACTTTTGACTGACCTAAATTCATGTCTCCCTTTTGAAGATACACCAATCCCTATAAGCTTTTAACACAAATAATGTATGAATTAATTGTTAATGGTTATCATTATTTTGACATTGTCGCCTTGTATTTGTTTAAGAATGCTTTCTTGAATTTGGTGACAGGATAAGTCCAATGGATCCAGTCAAGGAGGGGGGCCTAGACAAAGAGCAGAAGCTTTAGCTGCCCTGTCTTCTGCATTTAATTCACCTTCTGATAAAACATCCAGCATGGTATGTTAACTTGCCTAGAGATGAGTTATTAGGATTTTTGTTTTTAGTATTGTTAATTATAAATTGATGATCTTCAAACAAACAGAAGATACTCCTATCAAGTGGGTTAGCACAATTTCACAGAGCATTCACCTAGTATAGCATATTGAATTGGCCTTTTTGTTTTAGTAATGGCATAGGATCCTATGCATTTAGCAAGTAAATGCACAATGTAACTTTAGAGACAGAAAATTAGAGGTGGATGAAAGAAGGCTCTTGTACACTTCCACCCTTCTAAATGCACGGCACGTTACTGTAGAGTATTAATGCCCTTTACTTCCTGATGGCTAATGGCATAATAGTTGATTAGGGTACTGAAAATGTGACAAATAAGAATAATGTTCTATAATTACCCATGGCGCAACTAATGTCATCTGTTATATTAGTTCTTCTACTGTTGCCCAAGGCTTTGCTCAGGTGTTTGGACCTTTTTTTTTTTTTTTGGTGGAGGGGGGTTTGGCGTTCTTGCTTAAGATATCACAGATTTTATTCCCAGCGTAACAATAAGAAAATTGGCGCTTCTTTTGAACTTTTTGTAATTTCACTGGCACAGGATAGAGATAGACTGAACGGAGTAAATCAAGGAGGTCCAAGACAAAGAGCTGAAGCTTTAGCTGCCTTGAACTCTGCATTTAATTCATCATCCACTAGCAGAACTGTTGCTCCCAGGCCTGCTGGAACAGGTCAAGGATCACAAAGAGCAGCAGCGGTAGCTGCTCTTTCAAACGTTCTCACTGCTGAGAAGAAGAAGCAATCACCTGATTCCTCTCCTCTTGGTCCAATCAGCAGTCCTGCTGCAGAAAGCAGTGCTTCTGGTAAGATCAAGTTCTTATTATCTATGCAATATGCTGCTTTCTATGCAAATATCCCGGTGCTCCCCCCCCACCCCCTCCTTTATTATTTGGCAGCAGCCCATCTTTTCTTTTATTTTTCGAATTAATATACCACTTTGCGCAAATTTCATTTTACATTTATTTGGAAAATATGAAACCTGGTTTTCATGCAAGACAAAAAAACTGCATACCTGAAATAAAACTTGTGCAACCTTTTTCCTTAGCTGATATGAAAAATTCAGAAAGTTCAACCCTTAGCTGCAACTAATACTTCTCTCTTGTTTGTGCAACCAATTCTGTGAGTTCTGGAATTTCTGACAAACTTGAGTTCTTGTAGCAGAAGCTAAAAGTGAGAGTGGCCTGTCTGAAACAGAAGGTCCTGAAGAAGCTGTAGATGCCAAGGAGACTGAACTTGCAACTGAAACTAGTAGCAATTGGGATATAGAACCGAAGCAGGAAAATGTTGAGGATGGGAATGATAATCAAAGCAGTCAGAGCACGTTCAGTTATGATCAACTAAAGACCAAATCTACTAATCCTGTGTCTGGAATCGATTTCAAACGAAGAGAGGTTAGTCGTGATCTGTTGTTGCTGATTTAATTTATGCTGTTGGGAGTGATGTTAATATATATAGTCTTTTCTCTCCAATTGGTGTATCTCAGGCCTATCTATCAGATGAAGACTTCAACAAAGTATTTGGAATGACAAAAGAAGCATTCTATAAATTGCCGAAATGGAAGCAAGATATGCAGAAAAGGAAAGCTGATTTGTTTTAGAGTTAATTATTGCAATGAGTGATATATATATTCTGTTTTTGCATCCTAACATACTTTTCTTGGAATCCACTTTTTATCTGTGGGATGGTTGTGGTATTATTGAAACTCCAAGTTGGATTCCGGTGCGTAGCAATTTGCTGTTTGGCCTTTGATGGATGTAAACCTGTGGTTAGTGTCGGAATTGATTGTGATGCTGCATGGAGAGTGAGTTTTAGTTTCTCCTTTGAAATTGGTTTTGCCTCATGTAATGATGTTCAATATTGTAGCTACGAAGACGATGGACAGGTCCATTCTTTCATTTGATCAGGTTTGTAATTTTAATACATGGATTTATTCACGTTGTTATTGGTCCGGGGGGGCGGGTGTACTTGTACTGCTTTTTAATATAAAGAATGAAAATTTGCTTGTTTTTGTTTTTATGATTTTGAATTATTTATTGCATTTTCCCCTTTTTTAGTACATGAATTATTTATTTCTTGTTCTTTGGTTATCTTATTCCTATCTCCGTTTATGATCTTGCTCGTGTTAAGCGTAAGATAATGCATTTAAAGCATGAATTTGTTATTAAATGCTTAATTTACCGCATGACCAATTTAACACTGCCGGGGTTTACGATTTACGGTTGTGCTAGGCTGGGAAATTAGAGTTTATGAAGTGAAGAGAATCACACGAAGCGACGTAATCCCCAAGCTGGAAATTTCATCAATGGTTATAATATATGTGTTGAGTATTAATTACGTGATTTTTATCCTTGAATCTACGCTATAATTTGGTTAAGATATTTTCCCAAAATGAGGGCATCGATTCTTTCTTGGTCCTTCTCATCCTTTTTCCTTTCTTGCTATAAAATTAAGATTTAGACAATTTAGATTTAATTTTCTATAAAAGTATTGTTAAAACATTAAATTATAAAAAAATATAAATAATAAAAGTGAGATAAAATGAAATATTTTAAAGGAAATCAAATATGGATTATCAAAAATATTGATCTAATGGTTAGAAATTAAGAAGATGAGGGGAAAAGATGGGAAAGATGAGAGAATCCTAGTTTAATAATAATTAAGTTGGGGAATCCTAATTTGAGAAATGTTGCATATGATATACCACTGTCAGTCCATCACTCATTCACTCATAGAAGATATTTGTTAACAATGTTAACTTATAAAATTTAATGTCGAATGTTTTGGAAATTAGAATATATATATAATTTTTTAAATCTATGATAATTTAAAAAATAATTATATTTTGACCATGAATTATATATAACATGTGAGTTTTTCCTTGTAATCTAACATTTTACTAGATTTACTTGTTATGCTTGTCTCCATATATGTGGACGTTGATATATGAAAAAAAAAAAAATCAATGCTTGAAAAATAATACTACCATGAATGGTGTAATTTATTTTACACACACACATATAAATATATATATATATATAATATTAATTTGAGGATATATTTTTTGGCCAATAATTTGAGGATGCATTGATAGTTGATATATGGATATTGAAAGATTACCACTAATTTTTTTGCCGATGAATTAATTGAATTACGTGCTGACCATTGCAAAGTCCAGTTAAACACGATCACATGGCTGCACCAAACTGCCTCTAAATTATCTGTCCGCCGTTATGCATGCCTCCTATTCTCAATGATCTCATCACAACTTCACAATTCACAACAAATGGAGAATTTTTAAAATCAGTTCTAAAAAGTTTCCTGGTGTGATAAGAATTCCTGACTCCCGTGGTCTCCAAAATAGTTTTATATTCTAATAAAGGTCTTAATAATACCGGTTATTACAAAAATTAACTAATAATTTAAATTATAAAAAACAGACACCCCAATAACAAAATAGTAATAATTAAAAAAGATTTATGTCTAAATTTTGTCTGTAGCCTAAAAAAGAATTGTCTGAATTCTGTCACGAGCTTTTAGGTGGCTGCCTCATCACAAACACAACACCTGCACCAGATCTACATCACATAAACAAATCTCAACTTAAAGAGTATCTTGAAAAGAATTGTTATTTTGTTTCTACGTGGGAAGGGCTAACAATCTCCATAAAGAGAAGAATCTACTTCAGACGAACATATGTGCTTCTTAATAAAAGAATTAAGGCCGCGATCATCTTTACCGCGTTGAATTATTACGTAATCCCACAATGACGTGGAAGAAGCTGAGCTAGGGTCAGCGACGGATCTCGTGTCCGATATTGACTCGTTTAACGTTATCAAATTCACGTTCTTCATCGTGAACTTGTTCCACACCAGCTGACTCAGAACCACTGACTCAGTCACCGAGTTCTTTGTCCGTTTTTTCATTGCCCACCGGACAATTTCCGTCAGCATCGCGTTCGATAGTCGCCGGATGCCTCGCCCTCCGCCCATTATGATCGCCGAGTTTACTCGCCCTCCTGCGAGAGTCTTCTCCGAGCTGTTCCTGCTCTGCGTCATGCTAGAGCTACTACTTTCTGGATCTCTGTGCAACAAAATCGACTCGGGGCTCCGGTTCCTGACTCTTCCCAACGGGTCCTTCACTACTACCATTTTCTTCACGTCTACGAGCATTATATGCTTGAAATTCCGCTTGACCCGACCGAGTAACATCGGGTAACATGCCCATCTTCTCAAACTCAGAGGAACGCTGTCTAAGAACCCGGCCAGCGAGTGCTCGGGATCGAGTTCTTCCGGGTCGAATCTCAGAACCGACCCGTAGCTCAACAGAGGGACGCTCTCTTCTGATTGGTCATTCCGTGTTTCTGGGTTTGTGAGATTGCTTCTAGTTCTCTTGCCCCACAATGGCTCTTCGATCTCCGCTCCCCTCTTGACCATCTTGAAAAACTTGGTCACGTCGAAATTGTGTGATTGCTTCCGGTTCTTGTGATGTTGGGTCACATTCATCATTTGGGCATAGTGTTGAAGGAGTGAAAAGAACGAGTCGTTCTCTTCCTGAATAATGGGGTTGAATCTCGATGACAATGAAGCAGAATCGAACATGAAAACCACGTCGGCGCTGGCAGTGAGGGCCGACCTATGCAAAACTCGAAGAAACAAGCGAAACTCCTCGTCAGTGGTGTCGGCGACCACGTGACCCACAACGAGATCTTTCATGGCTCTGGTTCCTCTCCTGTACAGAGTACCCATCCGTTGCAGAGCGGGAGAAGGAAAATGCTCACTCTTGGAGGCACATTTACTGAATTGAGTCCTCCCCAATTTGGAGAACCAATCGCTAGCTCTGGGTTCCGTAGCAGGATTGTGAATAGTAGGGGATTTCTGCGACAAAAATCGACGGTGGGCGGTGGGCTCGATGGTAGATAGAGTGAAAAGAACGAGAGTGCTGAAGAGTAGGAGAGCGCATACGAAAATGATGCATTGAGCGGTGGAGAAAATGCGAATGGAATTGGGTCTCTTGAGGGAGGAAGAAGAGTGGGGAGGCGAAGAAGAAGGCGAAGAAAAGAGGTTGGGTTTGTCGGCAATGGGGGAGGTATCTTCAGGGAAGAATACTAGAAGGAGACCCATGGCCTTGGCCCTTGCGTCTGGCCAGAACCCGGAATCTCTCTTCGGTTGAGTGGTGGGCGACGATTGTGTGAAGATTTGAGTTTCCTGGTTTTTGTAGTCATGCTTGGGCAAGGAAAGATTCATGAGGCTTTTTCTACTCTCTCATTTGACACCATGCGGTTATGACGACATTGACCCCCTCCGCCTTTTACCATCGATTCAAAACGGAGTGATGTGAATGGAGGAGAAGCTTGTGATTTCACAGCATCGTGCAGGACATAATGCAACGTCACAGGAACTGGACAGTCAAAGAAATGAAAGGTGTTAAGTACGCTATTCCAGAGAAGAAATGGATCTCAACGCGGGAACAAAGAGAGAGTGCAATGCCAGAAGGTGGATGAAATTGGGACCTGATTTGATTGGGATTAACAATAGAATGAGAAATAAATCGATGTGAGAAGAAAAAGGGAGAGTGAAATTAGAGAAGAGGAATAGGAAGGGAATTAGGGAAAGGTCAATTCTATCGAACCGACAAAAATAGTAAGGAAACAAGCGGTGGAGACTCTCCCTATCATCAAAATATGTCTCTTTTACGCATAGATTAAAAAACTGCTATCAATGTATTCAAATATTTATCACATTGTTAAATGCTTTGCAATATTGTTTACATTACTCATAAAAAAGCGTGTAATAAAAAATGCTGATAAATACTATTTTAGCTATCGAGAAGACATGTAAAATGAAACAAACAAACAAATTCCTTAAAAAAGATGTATAATAGAAAATGGATGTAAGAGAGAGTATAAGAAGGGGGCAGAGCATTGAGACGCAATTGCGAATTTAGAAAATGGGAGCGACGGATTTGATTTGATTTGGTTTGGCGACGTGTCGATCTCAGGTATTCTGCTAGTCATGCGCACAGCTCCGACCTTTATTGCATCTATACTCCCGAACCCCATCATTAATTGCTCTTATTTATTTTCTGCCCTCTTGTATAGTTATATTATCTACATCAGGGCGTTCCGTGATTTCACTGATACTTCTCAGCATTACTATTTACTCCTAGAATGCTGAATTAGTCACCAAAAAAAAAAATGGTGAATTATAGTTTTGTCAGTCGCCTAAAAGAGGCCTTCATTTTCACACGTACAGATCTGGAAGCGCTTGATAACATAATAGACTTGAGAGAGAGTGGACCAACAATATAGCACTTGGCAATGTATAGAGCGTGCAAGATGATACACGCGCACATATATAAAATAAATTTGATGGTTATTTGTTTTGTCTGTTATTGAATAGAAATATTAAAAAAATAAAAAAGGCAAGACAGCAAGTGGAAGAGAGAATGGCCAAAAAAAAAAAACAGAGAGAGTGATAAGACCCCCTCGCCCTCCCTCTAATAGGAAAATGTTTCGTTTGAATAAAATAAAATTGAATCATTTATCAATGTCAGTGCAACAAAATATAAAATGTATCAAAGGGCACATTGTCCATGAGTCGATGATTTATCTTCAGCTTTTATACGACTACGTGATTTTATTCTCGTTAATTATTATAACCATTTAAACCTTTTATTAAGAATATAAAGTTTTAATGAATTTGACTTAATTGAATGTATAAAATAATCAGTTATCATATATCAATATAAATTAATTCACCGTGCAGTGCATATGAAAAGATGGCTACTTTATAAACATCTCATTATAAGTTACCATAAATTATATTTTTTATGAGTATTGAACAATGTGTTTCATATCAAATTATATATATATATATATATATATATAATTCTTTAAAACGATGAATGATCAATTTTTCTGCCGGATGAAATTTTTAATGAATTGTCTATAAACAAATAACGAATACTTATTATCTAATTTTAAAAATAGAATGAAATTTTGAGAGGAAGAAGTGGGAGCGGTGGAACCTTCCAACAGACAAAGGAGAGAAGGACGGGTGATCCAACTCATTATTGCCTCGCTTCTCTTTTAATACCATATGTGTCTTGAGTCTTCTGTTTGTACTGATGGACGCCGAAACTTCCTCCCTCTTAACGCGGCATCAAAACGCTGCCAAACAGACTTAATTCTTTTTTTTTTTTTTAAACAGAGTTTGATATTTTTTAAAATTTCGATATCTTCTATTAAGTGACATGTCACGGAGGTGGAGTCCTATCCTATTAAGGAGAGACAAGAATGAGTGTGTTTGTTAAATTACGTGAGTTTCGTCTCTTCAATGAATTTAATGGGAGGACTAGCTACGAGGAAGTGACGAGAGGGTGTCAGGGGAATATATATATATATATATATATTGCCTGCTGATGGATTTGTTGACAGGCCAGAATGGGTGGTTGGGGACTCATGGGCCTCACAGATAGGCCCAAAGGGAAGTGAAGCCTCAAATTAGAGCGTTGGAGACCTCATCGGCTAAAAAAAAAAAAAAAAAGGATTGGAGCCCTGCCCTGACAAGTAACGACCACTCCACCTGTAAGAGATAGGTATAGCAAAATGACTTAATCTCTTATAACATAATATATTTGATATTCCTTTCCCTTTAAAATATAAAATATTTTTAAAAATAATTCAGCATTTCAAAACATTAAATATTTTAAAAAAATTATTATTTCATTAAATAAATTTATTTGAATATTACCTTTTTTTATATTTAATTTCCGTCCCTTCTTTTTATAATATATAAAATAAAGGGTATTTTAAAAAATTTATTTTTTATTTTAAAAAATAATATTATTAAATGTATATAATGAGGTTTATTAATATGTGAGACTTTATTTAAAAATATCTTATAATTTAGGAGAGAGGGAGTACTTAAATATATTTTGAATAAAACTATTTCCAACTAAAATTAACCATTTCCCAGTTGTAAATCATGTTACATATATTTTTAGAGCGTTAATTATTTTTCTTTCACGCAAACCCATAATTTACTAGGGTACATGTTGAAAAGTGTAACATGGAAAACTGTATGAATTTTACAATAACTTGAAATATTTGAAAATAATAAAATAATATGGATATGAAAGACGTGAAGAAGTGGAGTCGTACAATAGAGGGGGAAATTAAATGGTAGGCATGAACTTTGGGGGCGTGTTGGAGTTTGCAAGTGGGAAGCACGAGGGAATCAAATGAGAGACTCCCACTGTTGAGGCCTGAGGGGAAGTTGCTACCACACCTTTGCTCAAAATTACCGTTGCTTCTCCTTCTCCTCCTCTCCTCCTTCCTTTCCGCTTTTCCCTCGCAGTCTTAATCATGCTCTTTCTCTCTCTCTCTTTTTTTTTTTTTTTTTTCCTTTCACCCTTACCTCCCACCACCTCCTTTTCCAACTTTGCCTATGCTTTTCCTACAATTATACTTAGGTGTCATTTGCTTATTAAAAATGAATAAAATATAATGAATTAAAAAACTTAAAATAAAAAAAAACTACACTACACTTTCCCTAATGATAAGTATGATGAAACTCACTAATATATATTATAAATATAAAAATTATTATATTTTTTAAAAATTTAATAAATTATGATTCTCAAACTCATAAATTAAATATATTTTATTGTTCTTTTTAATTATTTTATTTTTAATTTGTTTTATTCTATTCCTCCCTAACAATCAAACTGGACTTTAATTTTACGCCCACGGTAAAAATCTTGACATCATTCTCGGATGCCTTTCAGATTAGGATCTAGCCATGAGAGTCAGCATCATCCTGGCTTCGTAACCTCGAGACAAGTGGCACCCAACATGCACCCTCCTCCCTCCTCCTATTTATACTCCTCTCATCACTGCTATCCAATTCCCTCCGAATTACCTCACTGTCCCTCCTCCCGTCCTAGCCGTTACGTTACCCCATGAAACCCCACAAGGTCGCATCCGTAATTAGCTCCTTCCTTCCCTCACTCCTCCCTCTTCTGAACCTTCTAGTTGTAGTCATCCAGTCCACTGTGACTCCACATACCATCTAACCCAATTCCTCCCGCTCCCACCTCCCTCTCACTCTGTTCTTGGACCGTCCATGGCTTCTTCTTCCTCTGACCCTCCTGCCAGGGCCGCGGTTGGCTGTCCCGTGGCCGAGACCTCGGATGCAGCCATCACCAGCGATCAGGTGTTTTTGTACAGGGAATTCAAGAAGGCTAAGAAAGAGAGAGGATGTACGGCCAAAGAGCGAATCAGCAAAATGCCTCCTTGTACTGCCGGCAAACGCAGCTCCATATACCGCGGTGTCACCAGGTCCCTTCAACCTTTAGTTGCTCTTGTTTAATTGCGTGAGTTTTTCTTGATTTGTTGTCATGTTTGATTCCTCGGAGATGGCTGTCCTTTTTCATTTCTTTCGTTAAATGGGAAAGTGAGCGTCAAACAGAACGGTAACTGACAAATACTGTTATGTGTGCCACGTCACAATGCTCAAGGTATTGCGTCCAAGTTTCTTTTCACCGTCTGCTGTCATTCATCAGCTATTCGGTTTTGGTGCCAATGGAACTGCGTTTCTCTGGACTCTGCCTATTTTGAATCTCTTGTATCGGCTGTGCTTTTCAGATGTGGAAGCTTCTCCGAAATGTGCACTGATTGCTTTTGTTTCATGAATTACTAGGCATAGATGGACAGGTCGTTATGAAGCACATCTTTGGGATAAGAGCACGTGGAACCAAAATCAGAATAAGAAAGGAAAGCAAGGTTTTCTGCTTTCTCTGCCTTCCTTACTCCGTCTCTTTCTACTTGCATATGTACGAAGTTGTCGATAAACACATCTGAACATCATGCTCTTATGATCCTACAATTACTCACATAGTCTCATCATTTTGTTGTGCACTGGGCATGAATTTGTTGGGCAACAATTCAACCGTGACGCCAGTTTACTTGGGTATGTTGGTTTCATCCTCTTATTCTTTCTTGAAGTTGCTGAACAATTCATTATGATGATTGTCTCTGATGGCGTTTATGCAGGGGCATATGATGATGAAGAGGCTGCAGCTAGAGCTTATGACCTTGCTGCTCTAAAATATTGGGGCCCAGGGACTCTCATTAATTTCCCAGTAAGATAAGTGCTTGGATAGTTACGTTCACGTGTCTATTGATTTCTTACATTATTTTTGGATATCAAAATTCAAAACATGCTTTGCGTGACCTGAATTTGAAACTGAAAAATGCCTCTTTGCTCAGGGACTATTAAGTACAGCATCTATAATCTTGATCATTACTTGCACAATGCTCAAAATATTTTGTTCTGAATTAACTTGTTGTATGAATTCAACAAATTCAGTGCACTTTTGATGATAACCAGCCTATGAATTAAATTCTTTAAATCCAGTGGCATTCAGCAGGATAAGGGAAGACAAGATATTCTATTTCTGGTACATACAGAAATTTCTGCATCAAGTTTTGATCTGTGTATTGCAGGTGTCTGATTATACGAGAGATCTTGAAGAAATGCAGAATTTTTCAAGGGAAGAATACCTAGCATCTTTGCGACGGTGTGTATATGTACACTTAACCAAATATTTCCTTCCAGGAATTCAACTGCTTCTTATATGTGATGCTTTCTGCAGGAAGAGCAGTGGCTTTTCAAGAGGAATCTCAAAATATCGTGGACTCTCCAGGTGTGGATCCATCTTGAAGGATGCCAAATGCATGCAGACCACACACCCAAACCTATCCTTTGTCTTTTTGTACATTGGTGTTTATTCTCCGCTAGAAAGTCTGCTATAATGGTTTTCAAATAGGAGCGTTGCTTTATAAGCTTTCTAGCACATATTTTCAATTTTAATGCTCCTCATTATACACAAATTTATGGTGCCCGACACAGATTTGATTGTTAATTTTAACTCTGCATTTCATATTGCATGTGATGGTACAAAAACTTAGTCGATGGGAACCATCATATGGTCACATGGCTGGATCTGACTACTACAATAGCATACATTATGGTAAGTTCTAATCAAATTTAGAGCTCAAGCAATCATCTGTCAAACCAATTTATATGAATTAGACCGTATCTTTTTTGGTAAAATTAGACCACGTTCTTCGGCACCAAATTTGACAATTGAAAAACTTTGCTGCTGCATGGATTCAACTTATATCACTTGTTTTATCTGCTAGATCACTACCATCTTACTGTTCTGTAATGTTCAAGGTACAGGTGATGATTCAGCTACAGAAAGTGAATACTTAAGTGGTTTCAGTGTAGAAAGAAAAGTTGATCTAACGAGTTACATCAAATGGTGGGGATCTAATAAGAGTCGCCAAGCTGATGCTGGAACAAAATCATCAGAGGAAAAAAAGCGTGGTTTTGCTGGAGATCATTGCAGTGAACTCAGAACATTGGAACAGCAAGTACAACCTACTGAACCATATCAGATGCCACAGTTAGGCATGTCCCATGATGAAAAAAAGCATAAAAATCCTTCAGTTTCTGCCTTAAGTATCTTGTCTCGATCAGCTGCCTACAAGAACTTGCTAGAGAATGCATCAAAGAGAGAGGAAAATAGCATAGACCCTATAGAAAATGAAAACAAAAATAACATTGGTAAGTTGGACCGTGGCAAGGCAGTGGAGAAATCTTCAAATCATCATGATGGTGGTAATGAAAGACCTGAATCTGTAATGGGGATGAGTGGAGCTTTGTCTCTTCAAAAGAATGCTTACAGCCCGTTGGCTCCATTCTTGTCTGCACCCCTTTTGACTGCTTATAATACTACGGATCCCTTAGTTGATCCTGTTCTCTGGACGCCTCTTGTTCCTATACTTCCTGCTAGTCTTTCCCGTAATGCTGAGGTTGGTAGATTTTTGTTGTGCTTTACTTTCTCCTGCTGTGATATTATAAATTATGTGTTTGCTGATGATATTTAATAGTCAAATTTTATTAAAATAACTTGAATAATAAGCAAACAAAACAATCTACGCTTAATTTTTTTTGGTCTGAAAACAATCTGCACGTTTACTTGGATAGATTTGTTTTCTTCGTATTATTCTTTTAATCAACATCATAACATGCTATGTTCTCAAGCTTATCTCTTCACTGTTTACAAAGACTTGTTTTCTTATGTTGTTATCAACAAAGTACAATGTTATGTGTCACTTAATGCTGATTAATGTTTATGCTTCTGGAATTTATGTCAAATGGCCCTATTTCTGCATTTTGACGGGAATATGTGGAGAGATTATAGGTAAAAAAAGTCCCCAGATAGATGCAATTTTAGATACATCACTGATGTGTGTGTGTGTGTGTGTTTGTGTGTGTGTGTATCAAGGAAAAGAAGCCCCGTCTGGAATTAAAACTATCTGAAAAAATGACATTGATGGGATGGCAAAGACAATCAAACTCAAATTGTTTCATAGGTTACTCAATGGTTACACAAAATTGTAATTATCTCCGTTACATCAATTTATCCCCGAGTGATTTCAAAGTTATTCATCACATTCTATGTAGTTTTATACTGCCCAAATGTGGATTCATTTGCAGGTTACAAAGGCTGAGGCCAGTTCATCTTATACCCTCTTTCAGCCAGAGGACTGACTGGAAATTCCTTTGAATGGATCTTTGATTTGAAGAATAGCAAGTTCCTGAAGAACTGAGAGAATAACATAATTGGAAGGGATCCATTTGTTCAGATGATCTTCATATCGAACGAGACCTTCAAGTGTCTGACGAGCTCAACTGGTTTGGAAATGCCACCAAAGCTTGAACCATGCATGCATGCATCTTGCAATGCATATACTGATAGTAATAACTATAGAGATAAAAGATTACTGTGCTCAGTGCTCTACACGTAGATAAGATATATAAGGTTCACACGAATTGTTTCTTGCGGTATGACGTTTCTGTAAAGTTTTTGCGGGCGGTAAAGAGAGTGATTTCCTGTACAGAACAAGAGGAGGAATCATGGATGGGTATATGGGTCATGGGTTTCGGTGAAATGAGTTTATCGGATCATGTCAGATAGTTATCTCTGATGTTTGATTTGTTTGTTTCAGTTAGACAGTACCATTTAGATCACATTTGATTCGATTTCGATCCTTTTCTCACATCGTAACGTAAGATACATGCCAAGGAAGCAATCCATGGTTTAAATTTCAGATATGAACGGGGAAGTTAGTTTTGAGCTACCAAATATTGAAAAGTCTTGATGTTTGAATTTAAGAGTAATGAGTCAGACTTTGAGGGGGGACAAATACCGTACCATGCGGATTTCAAATTCTTGAAATTTGATTTGTTCCATTTCTTGAGCAATCAATAAGAGAAGATGGTATACAAATATAACTCCTACTTCTATTCTTTCTTATTTTTCGGCCTCCACCAAACCTTTGATTTTATTGCTCTTAGTTTTGACCCATCTATGCCCCTATCTCCTCACTCCACTTAAAATCACTTTTTTTATTTTTTGCGGGGATGCAAAACATTGATAAAGTTAACTATGCTAATAAAACCAACCAAATGAAGCCAATCAGCGGAGCTAATTAATCGGTCCATCAAATAATGGACACGTGCACATTGGGGCTAGAAGAGCGCAGGACGGCCAGTGATTGTGTCAGAAATCATAAAAAAGTGAAAACGTGTGTGTTGCTTTAATTTGTTGGTTTGAATAATAAAAGACGGTTGAATTTGGTTCGCGTAAGCAGAGCTAAGAAGAAGAAAACGACAAATAAAAACGTTTTCCATGCGGAAGAGAAGATGGTCCAAGTACGGGCGATTCAACGGACAACAATGCAACAAGAGGCCGCCAATGATTCTGGAAAAGTAAAATACAAGGGGAATCCTCCAGGCCTGAAATTTTATCACATCAAAAAGTTACGTTCATGACCCTAACCGCGGTTAGCTAAAGGAATCAGCAAACAAATCCTATACAGATAATTTAAATATAAAAAATTAAACTCATTAAGTTACAAAATTACTTTGAAGCCTCAATTTATTCATGTAACAATTAATTAAGCAACACTAATTAACAACTATTTAATTTAATAATAATTAATAGCTTCAATAAAAGATATGAATTTTAGAGTACTTTTATAATTTCATGATTTTTTTATATATTTAAATTGTTTGCATGGGATCTCAATTTTTCCATAAATCTATCAGACTTCCGTGTCATTCCTCTCAATTCTCTGACCTAAAATTAATATCAATTTCGAATCGGTGAATAATCCATCATCACCGGCACATATTCCGACCCTACAATACATAAATCTTAACAACGGGCCGTATTCTGGAGAAATTTTTATATAAATCCAATATACCACATTATCCATGATTCATTCAATAAAGACATAACATTTAGATAATATTTAATGAAAATTAATTTTGACATTAAATATAGTAAAAAGAGAAAAGATAAGAAATTAAATAAATATTTTATTATAAATAAATTTATTAAAAATAATAACACATCAAATATTATTTGATCGAATTGGTATAATTTTATATATTATTTGATCTAATTGGTATAATTTTATTAAATAGATTATGAATGAAATGGTTGATTGGATTTATCTAATAAATTAAATCTTGCTTTTTTAATATTTGACGGCAGGTGTTGGTGATAGAAATGGACAGATCCCCGTATATAAGTTTTTTTTTTATCAGGCTTTAAAAACAAAATGTACATATTTTATTATTCTTAAACTTTTAATTGTAAGCTAATGAGTAACAAATCTTTCGGTTTTATTTTCAGGTTTTAATAATTTTTTGGTTGTGTTTTACCCCCCCCCCCAAGCCAAAAAAAAGGTTTATAGGTAGGTTATAACCGATATTACGGACTAACGGCTTCCCAATTCCCTCAATACAAGCTTGCTTTTCAATAAATAATGGCTAATTAATTTATAAAAGAGCTGTGAGCATGTCATTAAAACCGATCATAATGGGGAAATCCATGTTTGAGATTTTACATTTTATTATGTAAAGTAATGTTATCCTTAAACTTGTCAAAACGTAATACTTTCAATGTTAGAAGAAGTCTTCTGACGCTGTTAAATTACTATTTTAGGACCCACAAGCTTGCATGTGTGTTTTTTAATTTTGAAAGAATTACTTTAAGCTCCCACGTAACATAATTAAATACTATAATGTTCATTAGTAACTGAGAGAAGAAAAATCAACTAGGTTATCAATAAAATATTGTGTCTTGTGATATTTAAATGTGTAATTCTCTCTTTAATTTTCTTACCCCTTATGACGTGTTTTTTACTCACTGTCCGACTCTCCATCTCTCTTCCACGGAACCATAGAATTAGATCCATTCCTTTACACCTTCACATTCAAAGTGCATTTGAACAACAACAAATACAACAATTCAATCTCAAATCACAAACTCAATCAACAAAACTGAACATCAAAGAATGAATCATTTCTGTCTAGCAAGTTTCTAATCTCCTGAACAACACCCCTGCGATCTCAGGGGTATCATTGCAGACATCACGAATCACGAATCAAGGTAAATGCATCAGACAAGTCACTTCTAATCTTTGCCCTTTTGCAATTTCAATCCCACAGCGTTCTTATCTTCAAAAGGATATTTGAATTTCTCATACCTGAGATTACAATCACGGAGCAAAAAGCGAGCCCCAATCCGTGTCTGACACGTCCCAAACAAGGCTATTTCGGCAACATCAAGATAGATCTGGAGCGGCAACGGCTAACGGAGACAGCGGCGGATGACGAACTTCAAGGGACGGTCAACAACTTCATGCGTTGTGCGAGCTGGAGCGGACTGTTGAGCTTTCGCGGCGCGTGGACGAAATATTGCCCTTCTTTTTTAACTGAAAAATTCAACTAAATTCACGTGACATGGCATTTTTTAGTCAAACTTTATCAACATTTTATTGGAAGTCAGGGTTATAAATGTTTCAATTTAATTATTTTATGAGCAAAAATGCCACAACAAATGCTTTAAAGTAATAGGTATTAAGTGTTCCTTCAAAAATACTTCACAAACAAAAATACACATTTGCTCTCTATAAATTTATATGAAGTTTTCTTTTTTTAACATTTTCACTCATTTTGTTATATTTATAAAAATAAAAATCTTCTCTCCCTTTTTTAATGAGAAAAAATTTATAAAATTTATCAATTTTCAATTTTCAGAAGATTTAAATTCTATTATGACATTTTAAATGATTAAGAAAATTAAATTATGTATATTTTACTGGAATTAAACAGAATCACGATTCTTACATCTGTAACTCCGAGAGAACGTATGACATATATACTATTGTCTCGCATAACACAGGCACGTTAAACTACATATAATTGAACTGTATCTTCACTGTTCAATTCATTCCTGACTTGGACGTATATTGTATTATGATCTATGACGGACTTATTTGCATGACTGAGGCAGTAAAATACTGGGACGTGTCTCTGTCTTCATGTCTCTCTGTCCTTGGCTCACATCAAGCCTGACCCCAAATAACATAGGCCTCTCGTCTTCTTCCTCGTTTTTCTTGGCATGCTTGGCCACGAGCTCGAGCAGGTCCCTGCACTTCCTCTTCATGGCCGCGAGCTCAGAGTTCAACTCCCCATTCTCTCTCCTGAGTCTCTTGTTTTCATCGACGAGAGTAGAGTATCCAGAAGATGAAGAAGTCGAAGAAGACCTTTGGTCTTCCTCAGAATATTCCTGATGATTAGCTTGTGTTGTCGTAGCTGGTTGTTGTTGTTGCTTGTTCGCCCATGCCTTTCTTCGTCTAATCTCACCTAGTTTTTCTTTCTCCCCCTTCCTAAACTTGTTGTTGCAGAATTCCCATCTGTTCGTCGCCGCTTTACGAAATCCCTGTGATCATAAAATCAAGTCGTCCTTTAATTATCATAGCCGCTTCAAACCTATTTTCTCATATGGAATCTATTCGATCGATCGGAGAACTGAAAGGGACAAAGAAAGCAATTAAGTGGGAAAAATAAATATATACATGTGTACATACATATGTATTCAGCTGGCGAACAAAGCTGGAGAAGTTGCTGTGCTTGAAGAGAGTAGGAAGAAGGTCACGGGCAAACTCCGCCGGCTGCCACACCACAAACGCCGTGCCGTCGGTGTTCCAAGATATGACGCCGTCGGTGGCCGGATCCTCCACCAGCATGTATGTCTTTAACAAGAAGGGTGGTGGGTTCGACTTCCTGCTTGCATGTAACTGATCCAACGACTCTTTATTCTTCACATCCTCCATTAGTATATATATTCCGCAAGTTCTTCTCCTTCCTTTCTTTCTCTCTATGCCGGTTTCTATCTATGAGGAGGAAGAAGAAGAATAAGAAGAAGAAGACGACGACGAGGATGGTGGATTGACAAGGATAGTTAAGGGGGAGAAGAGAAGAAGAGCGGTTAAGAATTCCCAACCCCAGCAATAGAAACCCAACACGACTCCACTGTTCATGAGAATTGCAAGGACCCTTAAATTTCTCTTGCTTCCCTTTTTCTCTCCTCTTTCCTCAATCAATATTTAAAACGTAAGCTCTAAGCCTTCCTCTGTTTATATAATCAATTACTCTATTTCACAGCTTCCACTCTATATATTTCCCGTTAAAAAGTCATATTCTACTCCTCAAATATCATGCTGCGTAAAGATGAATTTTCTTGGTCAAATCCACAAATGTATTTATCTTCTATCCCCACGATTAGCACCCCATGATCGTCCCGGTTCATATTTACGACATGAGCCGTTAAATGCACGACAAAGCAGCACGAGCGCGTGAAGTGGTAATTAGTCAATAGCAATATCTTTTAATAAAGTCAAAAGAAATTAAAGTCGACAGGGTCGCAAAGCAGCTATTGACTAATTCGATTTTGTCGCGTCGAAATCAAACCTGTGAACAGTGGAGATGAAAAGGACGCGGCGTTATCCAGACTATGGTGAACTTTGGAGTTAGGGAAAGTTAAGAAGGAAGCTAGAGGGTTGGGGTGAACTTGGTGCGTGTGTGTGGAGTGTTTGGCGGAATTGTCATAATTGAAGAGACAATATTTATATATATATATAATTTTCCACGAAAATATTGTTAGTTTAAGCAGTTTAGGTGTGCTGATATTTTCATGAAGCAATCTTACGTGCAGATTCCTTCTCTCCCAGAGCTTTTCTAGTACGTCGCGCTAGAGTTTGATTTATTCCTCTAATGCATGATGGCGATGGCGTTTTCTTTAATCAAAGAAATCACTTCAGTATTTGACTTTTTGCATTCTTCCAGCTGTTCTTTTTCTTCCATTCAGCTTTCAACAGTCCCCTGTTTCAAATCCAATTAGCCTCTCAACCTCACCACTGGTAGATAATTTAATTATATACCAGTGATTTATAAAAATTTAAAATTTTAATTTAATTACTTATAAAAAGTGTATAAATTTAATTTTTACATTGAAAACTGCCTCCGTGAATGAAAATCCCTTTAATATATGCAAGTAGTATTAGTTATTACGTTTGAAAAAGAATATAAATTTGGGAGGCAAAATATATTGAAATATGATCGAAAATAAATTCCCAACCAGCCATTACATTCAAATCCCGAGGGAACAATTAATTCCATAGAAAAACGTTCTCGCCCTCTTGGTATATAATAACACAAGGTCCTCATATTATAGCGGGATCTAATCTTCCAATCTTGTAAGTTATTATGCAAATGCATATTAACTGGATTAACACTTTGTTTATATTACTATCAATGTTTCGAGAATAAGGAGTTTGTGGTTGATACGATTCTGTTTTGGTGGGCCCAACTAAATTATGTTTAGATTCTTGAAAGTTCTGGGCCCATGATACCGAGACATAGATTAGGCCGTTTATCACCTCAGGACACATCAGCTGTGCATATTTGAGAATTGAGATAATCTCACCAACAAAAGATTCCTAATATGTCTAATTGTCCATACATCTATAATATATATATATATATATAGATATATATATATATATAACTGTTTATAGAACCTGCATGGTCGATCAGGTGTGAAAAGCGCAATTAATTTTTCTAACTTTGTGCAGAAAACTACATAATTTGTGTGTATACATTGACCCATTTATTTCAACACATACAGCGGAATATGCCCCCTTCACTTTTTTAAAAAAAAAAAAAAAAAAACTGAAGCCCCCTTCACTTTTATTGAGCCACATTTGCGATGACCGAATAGGCAAATACCCTTTCGTTTTTACGAAGTTGACAGGCAGATCGCCCTAAAAGAACTATTTTAATTTATGTAACACGTGTTCTTCAAAAAAAAAAATTGATGTCCATTTTTTATTCTATAACCCAGTATCATAGAAAACCTGGAGGATTACCACTATCCTTCCAAACTAATTCAAACCCCCACTAAACAATAGTCTGTCAAATACTTCAAAAATATTTATGATATATTTATTTAAAGTGACCATATATTTCTGACTCAAACTTAAAATTCTGGGATAAAATTTATTGTCTACATTAGTAGATAGCTACAATTCACAATACTTGTAATGTATTTTGGTTTAAAACTTTAATTTTGTTTTTTTATCTAAAATACTCCAAAACTAAAAAAGCAACAATTTAGTTCTTTTCCCTTTTTGATAAGTCTGGTTTGGTTTTTAATAGCTCCATGTTACTTTTGAAATTCTTATTTATACTCAGATATTTTTATATTTTTCAATTCACCTTTTGTTAAATGTACACTTAATTATATAATTATATATGCACGTCTCTAGTATCATAAATTTCTTTGACTAAAAAATATAGTATCATAAAATTTTTAAATTATTTACCATATTTAATACTCTCTTGATCTCAAATTATAAGACACTTTTGGGAGAAATTTGTTGTCTCAAAGTATAAAAACGCTTTAAAAATATTAAAGTTTTATTAAATAAGTTTATTCCAATATGATCCTTTCCCTCTCTCCATTTAATACTAATTAAGTGAAGATTTAGGGTTATTAAATGAAAGATATTTTTGAAAGTTTATATTTTTATTTTGAAAAAAATAAAATTATTAAGTGTATTTAATGAAATTTATTGGTATGTAAGATTTTCTCTAAAAGTGTTTTATAATTTGAGATGAAGGAAATATATCGTATTGTATCACACTTGGTAGTCAATTTACATATGCTCATATTAGTGCATCACGGATTTTAATAAACATGTAGAACCAAAACCCATTAAAAATTTAAACCCATGGCTGTAGATATTTGTTTCAAATGAGTTGTTTATATTTTATATGTTTGTGGAAATCATGTTTAATTTTTAGCTCTTACATTTGTTTCTCCTGGTGAGCCATATTAATCAGTTCAGTCAGAGGATGTAGACAAATTTAGGAAGCTACTAAATTTGGTTAGGCAACTCAACTTTGTTGAATACTGGCCATTTTAAAACCTTCTTAACTGAAACAACAGTGAGTGGTCCAAAAGCAATAGCATTGTTCAGAAATTGGGTTTTAATAATTGGATTAGGGTGGAGTCTACTGGCTACGCGGGGGGATTTGGTTGTTGTGGCAAGAGGATGTTGTGACTATTTCATATGCTCTTTCTACCACCCAATCGCTGCATGTTAGGGTGAACATTAACAATACAACACAGTTCTTGTAGCTCTCTTGTATTTATGCATAACCAAGCAAAGCTGTGTAAAAGTCCTCCAATCCTATCTAACCCAGCTTGACTCGAGATAGTCGAGTTCTATTCATTCTGTATAAACAATGGTCCTTTAGGACTAAAAGAACTAAAAAGATCAAACTACTTCTTCAAGTTAGATTGGACAAGAGATTGGACATATCTGAACCATTTAATCCAATCCAGTCCTATTAATTTATTTAATATAATTATAATTAATTTATTTTTGACAAATTCTTCAAGTGTAATTAATGCGAAGGAGATGATTATATGAAGATTTGTTGAGTTTTTTTTTAATTATTATTGTAATGTAGTGTTGTTGAAGTTTGTTGATTGTTGTTTTTGTTGAAGTTATAAATTTAAATCATTTAGACTATAACTAAAATATGTTTTCTTCTTGTTGGAAATTATTATGGATTTATTATTATTATAAGTGTTTTTATTATCTTAATTTAATTTATTAATTTGAAATGCATTATTGTCTCTCATAGAGGAAAAAAAAAGAGCTGAGTGAATAATAGACTAATAGGACCAGTCTCCTAATCAATAATCATATGGATCAAGTTTAGTTCTGTTAAACTTTGGATTATCATTGGACAAGATTAAACTATGAGTTACTTAACCCAATTATTTTTATGAAAGAGATCGGATTTCAAGTTAGGCTGAAATCCAATGCCATCTAGTCCTTTGTGCAGCCTTAAAACTAAGCTATATCTTAAGAAAACAACTTTAGGTAAATCTAATCTCCATAAGTGATAATCAACAAGAACCATGGTTTGTTATTAGGGATTTTAATGCCTACTTGAATATTAATGACAAGAAAGGAAGGCTGGGTCATAATGGTCTATCTATGAAACAATTTGTTGATTGTATATCTATTTTAAATCTTTTAGAACTTGATTTTATTAGGGAGAGTAATACATGGGAGAAAAATCAAGAAACAAATTAATTGGGCTTTCTTAAGTATTCAATAGAACTTCATTTTTCCTTTCGCCAAAGTTCACCACCTAAGCAAATTTAGCATAGATTACTAGCCATTACTAGTTAAATGTGATAATAACAAGTGCCATTGGGGCCATAAACCACTCTTCAGATGTCTAGCTTCTTAATTATTAGAAGAGGAATTCTCAGATATTGTAAGGAAGTTTGGGGGTTCAAATGATTGGAATACAATTGTGAGAACCTTTATGAATGTTGCTACATCTTGGAACAAACAGAATATGGGAAATCTTATGGGGAAAAAAGAAAATCTTCTTAAAATAATAGAAGATATTGAATGATCCTAAAGCAAACAAGATAATTAGTGGCTTGTTCAAGCGAATAAAAACTCTGGAAGTCTAAAAACCCTAATCTATATATATTATAGAATAAAGAGACATCAAAAACTAATAAAGTGAGAGTTAGAAAAGTCCTAACGATAAAAAACACAGACACCTTAGAGAAAGTGACGTTCGATGTTTAAGAAAATGGATAGACGATTTGAGCACTAAGACACTGTTCGAGTTGGAGATCTATTTGTATGGATACAAGTGGAAGGAGCTGATCTCGTTGTTAACTCCTGAGATCCAAATATTTGAAAGAAGGACAAAAGTTCAACTTCTAAAAGGTATTTTTCTATTCACTTTAACTTAAGCAAATTCGATCTATCCATAATTGTGTTGGGGATTTAATTTTTTTTTTCCGTTGCGCCTCTTCAATCTAACAGTTTCATCTCCTCATTGATTAATGTTCCTCCTACGGTTGCTAGGTTGATCGCAATCATACAAGGACCCACCTTATGTTGGGAAAGGAATATGTGTAGAGTGCTAATCTTCTTAGACTTCTTGAAAATCAACCTTGTCATTCGTGGATGTGATACGAACTATCCATTTATGGACATTGTTGAACAAGCAAGATCTTATTTTTTTAAGGAGGGTCAAATGACTCTCAACCATGTACATAGAGATTGTAATA